CGCGGATACAAGCGGCAGAAATGAGCTTCCTCCGAAGGGTGGCTGGCCTCTCCCTTAGAGATAGGGTGAGAAGTTCGGCCATCCGGGAGGGGCTCAGAGTAGAGCATCTGCTGCTCCACATCGAAAGGAGCCAGATGAGGTGGTTCGGGCATCTGACAAGGATGCCCCCTGGGCACCTCTTGCTGCCCCCGCGACCCGGCCTCGGATAAAGCGGATGAAGATGAATGGATGGATGGATGGCACCAAACCACACTAACAGTCACCTTGAGGTGCTTTAAATTGTTAAGTTAAAGACCCTACAAAAACCCTCTTGCTTTTAAGTGTGTCTCTGCCTACATGTCTGTTAACTGTTCCTCTTTTATATAACTTAACTTTGTAACAAAATTATCCACAACAGCTCTTCTTATACTTTTTAAATGTTTGTAAATTAAAGGTTAGGTTTACCCTTCATATAGAGCATGCACAGTATATATATCACAAAAAATGTATAATAAAGTGTAAAGAGTGGATCTACATGTGGTCCCCCCCCCATCCCCCAAAATAAAAAGCACTGGCACTTTTCTTATTTATACAAATTGTATGTTTATAAAAAGATTTATATTTTGTGAAATGTATTTTAATTTTTACATTTTCTGTAAGAAAGTCACAATAACCAGAATATAGAATGTATAAGAAATTTACACTGTCTCCTTTGATGTTTTGCTGTTTGAGTAGGTAAAGATAAGGTTGTTATAACCTAAAGGTATACAATTTATGACTAAACCCTAAAGTCAGAATAGTCTTGATGCCTAGTTGCCTGTATAGCTTCTTTAAAGAGTAAGACATAAATAATTTGCCCTACTCAGTCAGTATCTTTTTCGAGATGCCAACTTGGAAGATTACCTGAAACATACCCTGTGCACTCTAGTCAAATGGCCAAATGGTCTGTCATGCCAAGCCTGGGTTTTGGCACCACATTGATACAAAGGGGATACACAGGCAGCGTTATGGAAGATTGCATGTTTGAGTTATAGTGATTTAGTTTGGTAGCTTTTCAGTTCTGTGCTGCTCGGCTCAGCACTAATCATCTGACCTGTGCTGCTTCTCTTTGTGGATTTAGCCAGCTGAATTCACTAAGCTATAAGAACAGCTATCATGGCTACTTTTCAACAACTAGACTGTATAAAGGTGGACTTCTGTGATTGGATCTAATGTGAAGACTCAACTTGTTCTTTTGTTCTTTTTTCAGTTTATAATAAATAAATTGGTTATCCATTATACAGCATTGGTGATAGTTTTGCATCTTTTTCTGTCTGGCGGGCACATTGTTGTGTTTGCCGACAGGTAATAACAGCAATTATTTCATAAGCAATAGTTGCTGGGGTTTTTTTTCTTTTTTTCCAAGGCTGTTTGTTTTTTATGTGTTGTCTATGGTGTATTTTGGTTGGGGACTCTGCCTGCTCACCTGCTTCACTTATATTGAAGAAAGTATGGTGAACACAGCTTCTGAAGCTTCTGTTATGATCAATTATTATTTTTGACAAATGATGAGAAAATAGCACCCAGAATGGAAGCAAAAGGAGAATTTTAGGTGTACATGTAATAGATCTCCAGGGGTCCTGTGAGTGGAAAGTTTGATCCTACTAAAATCAGTCACTGCTGTATCAGTAACAGACATTGAGAAGACGAATGTCTATTAATTAAGCTTCCCTGTATATCTGTAGATTCCTCTGTGTATGTGAAGTCAACTGTACTACTGCCAACAGCATATAGCCACCTGCTTGTATTGATGAGATGCATGCACCTTTTGTCTCATATGATTTTGTATCTTTGGATGGAAAGGAAAATACACATGCTAAAATTCAGCCTTGCTACAGTGCTGAAGAGAAATCTAGGATTGTTCTTATTTTCTTCAGTCTGTGATGAATAGTGAGATGTTTTAGTTTCACAGATGGCTTTTTTTGAATAAAGCAGCCAACTTTTCCAAGCCAAGTGAGGATTGTCTAAATCAGTGAGATGCCATTTCCTGTCCAGCTTACCAGTTTTCTGCTTCAAGGGGCGCATTTCAGAGTTATACCAGGAAGTTCTTCTGCTTCGATCCTTTCTAAAAAAACAAAGTCCGTGTCCTATGTCATTGTATTCTATTTTGCTTCCTCCCTGTCTCGTCATGTCTATTAGGTTCAGCCATGTCTTCCTCCTGTTGTGCATTCACCTCATTACTTTGTGTGTATATTTGGTTTGTGTTTACCTCTGTTCTTCATCAGAGCATCTGTGTATCATCCCTGGTGTTTCATCATTCTATTCTTCTTACCCAGGGTCTCACCAGCTATGTTTCCAGGTTTCAGGATGTTTAGTTCTATGTTTCCAGTTTCTTGTTTAGCTGTCCCCAGTTTAAGTTTTAACTAGTTGTTTTGTAGTGTTTCATTTCAGCCACAAACAAAGGCTTGTGTTCAGTTAAACATCCACCTTCATCTCCTTTGTCTGCATCCACTTCTCTCATCTTCATGTGGTTGCCTTGCTAGCTGTGAGAAGGAAGTCATGAACTCAGATGACAAAACATGTTCAGGATGGATAATGATGTTTTTTTGCCTTCTTTATCACCTGATTTTCTGTCATTCATTATCTGTCTGCCTGACCCCTGTGATTTTGGACTAGGTGTTAACAATACTGCTGAGGGAGTTTGTATCCTTACTACCTTACCAGACAAAACACTGCAAATAAAAGAAAATGTTAAAAGACTTTCAACACATGAGCAATAGAATTTTTCTTATTACAAGAGTTCAGCCTCCTATACAAATATAGTCTTTATTGACTCCATTTTACGATGAAATCTGTCTTCACATCGAACTTGAGTTGATGGTCAAAGATAGTGCAGTCTTATAAATCTGGACATCAGTGTTTTGAGTTACTCTGGCTTTATACTCAGTTTCAGTGTCTGAAGTCAATAATCACTTCCTTTAATCATTTAAGTCCAGATAGTTATCATCATACCATTTCACAAATTCAGGTAAAAGAGGACCATGGACAAACTCAGAACCTTGAAGCAAGGACAAGAGTACAGTGTCATCAGAAAACGTAACTATAAATCTGTTCTCATAAGATGTCCTCTAGCTTTTGGTGTACATAATAAAAAGGGGTGACAGAACACAGTCCTGATGAGAACCAAAGCTTTACACAGTCCTACTGGATTATTTATTCATTAAGAAGGAAATCTTAAATTCTTTCAGTGAGAAAGTTTGAAATAGGCATGTTGGCTAGGGATACATAAATAGCCCCTTAATACCAGGAAAGATGGCACTACAAAAATTCTGTAATGCATTTGGAGACTTTTTTGTGTTTGGAATTGCACATCATAATTAACAATTACATTCAGAATGTCAATACAAACCCCTCGAGGTTTCTGTTAGAATTGAAAACAAAAAAAAATCTGAATGAAATGGAATGGCAAAAGCTACATCAGAAGTATCGAAAGTAGACTGAAAGGGCTTAAAGTGACGTCCATATTGGGAGGACTTTAAAGACTTTGAGTCCTTTAAAAAGATTTGAGGATATAAAAGAGCATGGCTTAAAAAAAACAATATTTTAGTTCAATTGGTTATTACATTTGTTCTTTGGATTTTAATGCATTATTGTTGACATAAGAAGAGAAAATGCTCTCAATTGTGGAGACAGTCAAATGGTTCATTTATGTTTGACGTGTGGTTTACATATGTGTGGCTGTTAATAAAGTTAGCGCGCTCTAGGAGGCGTATGTGTTCATCAAAATGGCCGAAGGCTGATGTGTGTTTATTCCTCCCTAAATATCGTCGGTGAAGTTTGCCATGCACATCAGATTTTCCTGCGCATTTTCATACCTCTGCCAACAATTATATTTAAATAGTACTGCTTTTTGTTTTTATTCACATGTTGGTCAGTATATCTGCACATGAATCTTTCAGAGAGGACAAAAACTGACAAAAATGGATATTTCAATTACTCACTTTTTGCTTTTCTTTCATCTTTCAAATTGTAATCATGAGTCATTTTTAGGGACTTAACACTGACAGTTAGTCATTAAGACTTTCGAGTGAGATTATATTTAGGATCTATGACATTAGTTGAGGGTGTGAACTCAGCTATTTGTCATGGTCCTGGGTCGTGCGACCCAGTGTTTTGTGTTTAACCTATTTTGATGATTATCGTTTATTGTTTGTTTAGGTTCACTAGGTAGTCCAGCCAGTTGTATTTATTACCCTTGTATTAAGTTTCCCTTGCCCTTCGTGTGTTTATGTCTGTGTGTCTTGTATTGTCAAGTTCATGCTGTCAGTTATGTCATCTCCCCTGTACTACGTCTCCCCGGTCCATGTGTCATGCCTAATCTCCATGTTTCCTGTCTTACACTCAAAAAAATGAAATTGGGTGGTTGTTAAATTTACAAAATTCAAACTTGTAATGTGAACAAAATAATTTCATGTTTCTGTGGTGAACGTAAAGAAATCCTGTAGGATCTGCATGAAATCCAGCAACTTAATTTATTCTTGTTGAGATGACATGATACAATCTAGTAAGAGTGGTTAGTTGCCTGGATTCACAAAATTCACAAGATCACACAAGAGTTCAAACCACAGGAAAATCACTGGGGTTAGAAGAGAAAGATAACCTAAACACACTACGTATATGCCTTATTGTGGTTTAACCTGTAAAGGACAAAAGTGTACAGAAAATTCTATATAAAGCCTTGTAATCATAGTTTCCCTATTGTTTTGAAGTCTAGATTGACAGCTCGGTGGCACAGGGTT